AATATGAATGCATTAAGTTAAAAACGAGACAGTGTATTTTGAACAGGTTAATTACTTTGTGTAACATAAGCCTATTACCTGTGGCTGGAGCATTTCCACAAATTCAGGTGCCACCTCATCTGGTGCCTGTTCAGGTATCATTTGTTGTGGGGGTTGTTCAACATCCTCCACTTGAGGAATAGTACCAATGACTGATTCAATTGTAGCTTCCTCCATAGGGCCGGCATCAGGTGGAGTTGGGATACCAGTGTCTGTGATGTCCTCATCAATTTTGAACACCTAATATGACAGAAACAACCGTAATTTTAACTTAAGGCCTTGTGATGAAACATGTAAACAAAGCTGCTGATAGTTTATAAGATAACTTGCCTCTTCAGGCTCCTCTGGCTTAACCTCAACACCCTCCTCTACAATAAATGTTATTTCTTCAGATTCAGTTTTTACTTCTACGGTTGTTGTGTCTTCCTGAAGTACAACTTCAAAGGGCTCTTCTTCTTTAGGGGCAGGGATTTCAACCTCTTTAACATGTAACACTTTTTCAACTGTTTCTTCAACAACCTAGAGGATATTAAAGGAACTAATCACCAAAATGTTTTTTAATTAGTGTAAGCTTAATTGTCAATAAATGTTAAAGAAAAAGTGTTAGCCAAAAAACTAAAGTTTAAAAAAAAATGTAAATTATTCAATAACTTTTTCTAGGCTACTAAAAATCTACATCATTTTTTTTCCGTACCTCCTCCTGTGGGGTGGGTGTGACCCTTTCTTCCTCATCAACCAACATTTCCTCAACATATAAATCTCGTTCAGGAGATTCAAAAATCAACTCCTCAGGTTCAATGGAAACCAACTTGGGGCGATCAATAGTTTTTTGAACTATAGCTGCCTCAGTGATTTCTTCATCTATATCTTCTTGGGCTGTGTAATAGGCGTCAGATGAGCCCGCCACTGAGGTGATTGACTCTGGGACTGGTGAGAAAATTGGTGACTCTGGCAATGGCTCCTCTTTTTCTAAAGGCTCCACCTTTTATAGACAGAATGTACAATTATAGTATCAAATTTTATACTATTTATTTGTGGTAATTTTTAACACCCTAGCAAAATGTTATGTAATTTTATAAATATGAAAGAGTTTTTTTTGAAAAAGTATTTTTTAGAGATATACCTTGGGTCTCTCAATAACTTCTGGAACTACAGATTCCTCTTCTATTTCTGAAGGTTCAACCTCCATTGCTGTTTCTTCCTGAGGCTTAATAACAAACTCTATTTGTTGAGGAACATTTGTTTCTATTACAAACACTTCATCCTATGGAAATAAAACATAGGAAAATATTAAAGGATATAAATTCTAAAGAAAGTTCACCAATTATAACATTCCAAAAACTATTAAATGTCATACAAAATAAAAATGTTTTATATAAAAAACTTGTTGACTAAGAATTCATTACTATTTATAAATATTATGCCCTGCACACATTTTTAATGGAATAAATTATAACTGATCTAACCTGAGGTTGTTCTGGTTCAAGCTCAATGCCAGTTTCTTTGGTTTCCTGAACTGTTAGATATGCTGAAGTTGTTGCCTGACCAGCAGGGTTTCTGGCCACACAAATATATTGACCCTGGTCTTCAGGGAATACTTCAACAATGATAAGGCTTACCTAGGAAAGAAAGATATACAAAAATGAATGGTAAAAAAATAAAAATTAATTGTCTATTATTAAAATAATTTTTAAAATTCTAGTAAACAGCTTTTCCGTCCCATATTACTGACCTCTCCTGTTTCAGGATTGTAGGAAATGACAAATTCTTCATCGTCATCGATATTCTTACTGTCGTGGAAAAATGAAATAGTTGGCATTGGTGTTCCGCTGACACGGCAATTGAGTCTAAGTTCCTGTCCATCAAGAGCTTCTGTGTCTTTCATGGTGTCCAGGAAAACAGGAGGAGATAGCATTTGAGAAGGAGAAGGCAAGACTGCTGAAGTATCTTCAGGTCTCTGGATATCTGCCTGGGCTGGCTCTGTAAAACATAATCGTATGAAGATACAGTGTGAACAATGATAACAGTATTTTAAAAATTCAATAAAAAATTTTTTAAGATGTCTTGGTGTTATATCTTAAAGGTTAAATTAAATAAAAATTAGTTAAGTAATAATAAACAGACATATGACAGTGCTCCTTACCTTGAACATAAAGAGTAGTGGAGCTAACAGCTTCTCCAATCTCAGACACAGCCTTGCAGGTGTATTCACCTGTGTCCTGAGGTCCAACTTCAATGATAAGAAGAATGCTCTTCCCATCTTCATAACGAATTTCATAATGTGGGGAGGGCTTGACTTCCATACCATTGACAAACCAGGTGATCAAAGGAGGTGGGTGGGAATCTACCTGACACTCAAGCCTAAATTAACAAAAATATATTTTTAGATGGAAAACATCTAAGCAAGCAATAACTAACTGACATCCACAAAGTAAACTGATTTAACGGTTTTTTTTTTCAAATATTATTTATGACTGTGAACGGACTAACACCATACCTGGCAATGCCCCTCTCCCTGACATAAATTTCAGGTTCTAGTGGTGCTACAAAAACAGGCTTAACTTGCTGCAGAACCACATGTTCTTCTCTTTTAATGGTTGTTACTGTCTTTGTAATTGTCATAACTTGATCTGTTTCCATTCCAGGAATCTCAATCTCTTTCTCTCGTCCTAAAGTGAACAATGTCAATATTTTTCATAATGCAATGTTTAATTTTCAAAATTTGAATGAGTTGCTGATAAATTTTATTTATTTATTTATTTATAGAACAAAAAGTATACTAATTTAGTTAACATAACATGGAAAAAATGTTAGCAAATTAACTAAATCATGTTATCATTCACAAAGCAAAACAAATTATTTTTATGAACCAGGCCTATAAAACAAATATACCTCTAACAATGAGAGTTGTCCTGCAGGTCACCTGACCAAGTTCATTCTCCACTTTAAGGACATATTCACCCTCATCTTGACGGGAAACATCAATGATGATGAGAATGGCTTTTCTGTCTTCACTGACAGTCTTTGTTCGCTCATTAACCTGAATCTCAATGCCATCCTTATACCAGGTGACTCTAGGCTGGGGTTCTCCAACAATCTCTGCTTCAAGCCTGTAGAGAACAATTACATTACATGCGTTGGTTATTTCCTTCAAGACGTCCATTTAATTTTTTTACAATTTAAATCTCCATTAAATAAATTTAAAATTTCAATTGAAAATATCAGAACTGTGAATTATATTAGATGCACCATTCCTCAACTGTAAATTAATACATTTACAGAATATTTGCCACATCAAATCAATTCTAGGTTTTAAATTTGTTATTGTTTATCTTTTGACATGACCCTCAAATCAAATAAAAAACTGTACCTGACAATTTCACCAATGGTGAACTCCTGGTAGGGTAAAAGTGGTTTGATGAATTCTGGTGGTTTCTGGACGACAGCAATATTCAACTGTTTAGCCAGCTGCCTTGTCTCTTCTTCAGCTGTTATTAAAATAAAAATTCACATTATAACAAGCCTAAAACAATATGGTTAATTTAGTATATGAAAGCAGACGTGATGAAATGTACATAAATATGAGAAGATTAACCTTGCATACACACAAAAATGAAGACAAAATATAAATAATACTATATCTTAAAGGTATGGTAGTTTACACTTATATTTTACATATTCCAAAGAATGCTGTATATATATTTGTAAATGAGAATTTAGTATATGAAGATGATAGCAATAATGTGCTTGAGCTTGATTTTTCTACTGCTCCTGCAGTATTAAAGTTCACACAAATTGCGAAGTCAAATCATTTGCATATAATGATAGTAGAATTGCTTGTTGAGCTATTAGTTACCTTTATCAAATGATTCTACTTCATGCTTTATTATTTTACCATGCAAATACATTGTTTTTAAAATTTTCAAATAAAATTTTAATAGTTAAATCTCATTTTATTATACTAATCGTAATCACACGCTTTGTGTCAATCGATCATGCAAAGAATTACATGCATTTTAGTGGCTGGGGTAAGCTTTAGATATGGTTTCTAAATAACTCATCAAAGGACACATTTTTATATTTGTTGCTAAAAATTATTATTAGAATATTTTAACTCAACCAATAAATAAATAGCACTAAACATCTGATGTATTTTTTTAAAAAGTTTTCTTATATGTATTTTCTTAAGTAAAAATTTAAATGATTTAAACTTAATAATAAATATTTCTAATAGGATACAGATATCAAAGGATGTAAGCTAGTTACTCACTAGGTTAGATTAATGACATGCACCAACACCTGGCTCTGGGTTGCAGTTCAAAGTTCAACATGCGAGGGAAAGGGATGTTTAAAGTCAATCTAGCTAGAGAAGCCATGCTCTGACGCTGGAAAAAATCTCGTTGTCTGGTTCCTTCTGAATTCTTTATTTGCCAAAGCATGCTTGGTTCATCCATGGAGTGTTAAAACATTTTCTTACACATTTACGCTCCATTTAGAGCCTTAGCTGTGATCTATTCAAAGCATCTCTACAACATTTGACAAACTTAAATATTCAACTTTATACAAATTTTATGCATTTGACTTCTGAAAAAGGGAATCTTCTTTTTTTTTTGCTAATTACAATAATATTCAAACAAATTCAGACTAGCAATTCACAAAATTTACAATGCTAAATAGTAGAAGAGTAATGTTATTGGTCATGCAGACTTATGTAATTTATCTATCATATACACAAGTCCATATACATTGATTAGTAACAAATGCAAGTGCAGTGTTAATAGAGAAGGTACTGTAAGCAAAATGATAGACTTCTTCATTGCTGAAAACAATATCAAGATTATATATACAAATTAACAGAATGATGAAATATGATTTACTTTTCATTGCCTGAAAAAATAAAAATATTAGTTTATAGAAATCAAAGAAGACATTTAGTGTGGTAACATATTCTGTTAACTTACGCTGTACATAAAGCTCAGCAGAGCATTCTGTAGTACCAGCTTGGTTCTTGGCCCTGCATGTTATCACACCAGTATCCTCTGGATGAGCTTTATAGATTGTGAGTGTCGTCAAACGGTCAATGGTTTCAATCTAGTAGAAAGTGTTTTAATAAATAAAAATAAAAATGATACCAATCATAAATAAATTGTCTTTAAGCCTATGTTTGTATGTATATAATATAATTTTTACTCAGTAATTAATGTAAATCTTGTAAATAAAATGTTATATCAAGATAAGTCAAATTACTTTATATTCTCTTGAGTCATGTAATGTTTGTATTCCATTTCTGATCCAAGTAACTTCAGGTGTTGGCACACCAGAGAAGACAGCTTCAAATTTGGCTGATGTATTTTCAGTCACCATCATGTTGCTGATGGGTCGAACAAAGCTAGGGGGTTGAGCAAAAGCTTCTGGTTGGACCTGATCGGCTTCACTTTCAGATCCTAATTAAAAATGAAATGTAATTTAGTTACATACAATTTTTTATGTCACAATTTTCATTTATGAGGCAATATTAGTTGACAATAGCTCTAGATTAAAACTGGAAATCTCCATAATAAAAAAAGAGAAAATTAAAAAAAATATAACATTGAAACATGTAATTAAAATGTATTGTGTTCGTGATAAAAGACCAAAATGTTAAACAATTTTTAGTTGTGGCAGTACTATCAAACAGATAAAAGTATGGCTCACCATGTACTTTAAGGTAGGTAACACATGCTACCTCTCCTGCCTTGTTTCTAGCAACACATTTGTAGGTACCAGTGTCTTCTGGGAAGGCTTCCATGATTGACAAGGTGTGCACACCTTCCAGGGTGGAGTCCATTCTGAAGTATTTTGATGGTTTCACCAACTGGTTGTTGCGATACCAAGTTACAACTGGATCTGTAACACAAGCAAACAAGCAATCAGCAACTGTTTCTTGAAAATGAAAGGTTTATTTCTATAACATTAGAAACAAACTTTCTATGATAATTAATGAAGAGCTTACGTGGTTTTCCCTTGATAACACATTCAAAATGGACTGGTTGGCCTTCATCAACATCCACCATTCTTGGTTCTGATACAACATAGGGTGGTTCCACTGAAGACTCCAAAGGAGGTTGTGTTGTGGAAGGTTCAATTGGTTTTTCTGGTTCTGGAAAACAAGTATTTTTTAATAAGGTGACTTGCTTTATTCTTCTAACACAGTTATTTCAACCACAAACATAAGAACCAGGAGTTAGTTTAGAAATTTTAAGCTGCAATATAATATTAGAAAACTCACTCTCTACAGTGAGCCTTGCTGTGCATGTAGCTTTGCCAACAGAATTGATGGCAACACAAGCATAAACGCCAGCATCTAGAGGTTGAGCCTCGTAGATTACAAGTGTGTAATTGTCATCTTCTTTGATAAACTTCCACCTTGGAGACTCAGGAAGAGGATGCCCCTCCTAAAAAACAGAAAAAATAACAATAGCTGATTATATTAACAATATCTAAAAACCAACATTCAGTAATAAGGATATCAAAATGTATTACACTGACCTTAGTCCAGTGGACCTGAGGTGCGGGTGTGCCAGTGATTTGACAGTCAAAAGTGACTGGTTCTCCTTGAAGTACTTTAGTGTCACGAGTCAGGCTACGGAACTCTGGTGGGATTTCCTTTTCCGGAGCTTCCCCTTCTGCAATATTCACACAAAAATTTTAAAGTTAAATTTAAAGCAACCCATTAAATGTCCTCTTATGGTAGCTATTTTCATGATAATAAGGTAAATTATATTGTAAAAAAGAAAATTACCTTCCACTGTTAGTTTAGCTTTACACTGCACCATGCCAAACTTATTGTAAGCTTTAACTGTGAAGAGTCCAGCATCCTCAGCAAACACTTCAGGAACATGCAGCGTGCTGGTGGTCTCAGAAGTGGAAATCTGGAAATCTCTAGAGGGTTGAATCTCAAAGCTGTCTCTATACCATGTAATGTTTGGAGGAGGAATACCTTTGAAATGAACTTCAAGGCTGTCAAAGAGAAAAGTACATTTTTCAGAGATTTTTCTTGAGAGGGATGTTTTGGTAACATGTAAACCTAATTGCTAAATATTGCTATAAATTTGAAAAAATTAATCTAAAAATAACTTTAGACTTTAGAGTAACATCAAGTCCGAGCATTAATTTTTATTAAAGTTAAAATATCATTATATGTTTTTTAAATACTAATTGTTTTTCTACTTTTTTTTGCTATGTTATTTCTAGGCAGTTTCATAGAATACTTAAAATTATAATGTACATATGGTTTAGTCACTTATTTATTTTTATACTTTTATACTTTTATTGTGATCTAAAAGGAATAAAACTTTTTAACAGATAATAAATATTAGTTAATATTAAGAGAAAAAAACAAAGACTTGCATACGTACTTCACTGAGCTGCCTTCTGGCACTCTCACAGGCCTCAAAGGTTTAGTGAACACAGGTGGTTCTCCCCTCTGGAGGGTTATTTGCTGCTCAATAATCTGTTTATCCTCAATAGGAGCAGTCTGGGAAAGATCAACTGGGACCAGCCTTGCTCTCTCAACAAATACTGGTTCAGACACTACAGCCCCATCAGTGTGGCGTAACTGAGTGTGAATACTGATGTACTGCTGCTCAGCCAAAACAACTTCAGTATCTCTTTGTACTCTAACTTTAGATTCTGATGCTGAGTAGAGAATAGATTTTAGTGAAAAATATTATACATTTTAAAGAAAATAGAATCAATTAAAATTATTTTTTTGTAAAGAGTTGGTAATGAAAAAAAGGAGCTGGAAAACATTTAGAAACAAACCTTTTTCAAGCTGCCTGAGCTCGTACTCAGTAGCCTTAGGTCTCTTGAGAGCATTCTCTAATTCAACTGAGCGGAGTTCAATTTTCTTTCTGCGCTCAACCTCTATTTCTACCTCTCCTGAAGGCAGGGAAACAAAAATTATTTATAGAATTATATGCTAGCATTACGTAAATATAAAGGGCAAGGAAAAAGATATGAAAATACAAAAATGCATCATAAAACCAAGCACAAACCTTTGGGGGCTTGCTTTAGTTTTGCCCTCCAGTCTTCTTTGGGCAAAACAACAAGAGAAGTACTACATTCCTCTTCTCCTTCTGAGTTCTTGGCAATAACTCTGACTTGGCCTGCGTCGTACTCTCTGCATTTTGGAATCTCCATGTGATGCATCATGCCATCATATGTTACTTTAAAACGAGTGCCCTGAAATATTTTTGAAGCAATGTGGCATTAAAAACATGATATTCAACAAGAATTAAATATAAAATGAACTTCACTTTCTTTAATACTTGGTGTTCCAAAATACATGCCCTCTATATGTAAAATTATAATGGTATATTTTCAAAATTGATTTGAACACTATTTAAAAAAAAAAAACAATAACACATAAATGTTCTTACAGCAACAATGAGGCTTCCATTGATCCACCAGTTGACTCTAGGTCTTGGGTAGCCGCTGACTTTCACTAAGAATTTAGCAGGCTCTCCTTCACAAGTTTCCACAGGCTCTGGTTTTAGGTCAATGCTGGGTGGTGTCTTAGTCTTTGGCTCTTCTATGACTTTTTCTTCAACATGCATGTGGCTAACAGAAAAAGTTCACATGTATAGAACCAGAATATCTAACAGCACGATGACAAACACTAACAAGAACATTGTTACAAATTTTAATGCATACCTTCTCCAGTACTCTTCCATTTCCTGAAGTCTAATTGCTCCTTCTCCTGGAAGTTGTGTGTCCATAATGATGGATCGAAGAGCTAAAAACAGAAATTAAGAATTTTAATAACTTTGATGTTTATTAATTTTATTTTAGTACTTAATTAACTTTTCTAGTTGGCTAATTATAACACTTACGTCTGCAAACAACAGTTGCTGAAGTTTTGTCTTCACCATAATCATTAGTGGCACGACATTCGTAGACTCCAGAGTCTTCAGGGTACATCCAGAGGATATCAAGGGTGACAAATCCAAAATCATAAGCTGGTATGTAGCGAGTACCTAAAGATAAAATTAAGTGAAAATAAAAGATATTTAAAATAAATAAATAATAACTTTCTAGTACTGGAAGATAACTGATAGGGTTTTTATGTTATCAACTTGATAAAACATCAAATATTTGTACCATAATGCAGAGGTTCTCCATCCTTGAACCATTCCACTTTCATTGTTGGGTCTCCCAATGGCAAAAGTTTGCACTCAAAATGAGCAGCATCATTCTCCTTGAGTTGCAGATCTTTAATCTGAGTTTTGAATTTGGCAGGTTTGTGTTTTTCCCTGTCATAAAGATCTTCAGGAGCCGGAGCTTCACCTTCACGACGAATGTACTCTTTCACTGCACTTTCTTGATATTCCCTGGAATTTATTTTAGAAATATGCCATTTTAGTTACTGATTTTAATTTTTTACTCAATTTAGACAGATTTGGAAGGAGTACATGTTTCTTTTTTAGACAAACAAAAAAATGGTATGTTAGATGATATTTTTATGCTGAAGTACTTCTTTGAATAAAAAGTAAACAAAAGCAAGTAAACAGAAGTTTAAAATACTTTTTATACTAATAAATAAAGTTAGCTTTTTTTGTTCCTGCTTTGTAAGTTGAAAAAAAAAATACTTGTAAATACCCAATTTATTTTTAAAAAAAGGTATTAGCAAATATCAACACACCAAACAAAAGGAAGAAAACTGCATTCTCATTTTGAAAACATAGAATTAGTAATAATTAACCAGTAATATTACTTTAAATTATTACATTGATAGTAATGAACCTTAATTATATTGTCAAGCAAAATAAAAAGTTCTTTCCTGATAAATAAATAGTAAAATACAAAGATAAGATTTGAGACACAAAGCACTAAGATTTTTTAAAATGATTACTAAATTTACTGCATCCTTCTACAAGCAAGTACTAAAACAAAAATGATCCAGATTTTGAAAATATTATTTCTGAAACATAAATATTGTTAAAACATTTAAAAACCATGTTAGAATCAAGTGTTATAAAAAAAAGTATATTAAAAACTAAAATGACGAAAAATGTATTGAAAAAACTGAAATTCAGGCTGTTTTGTCAAAACTGAAATTGATTTGGGTGCTTGTTATAGCTGATAAAATTTTAAATAAATTAGTGCATCAATCAACAACAGCTATATTTTCATTAAATTCCAACCTCCAGTCAGCAAGTTTAATGGATGTTGTTGAAACCTGTCGAGCCAAGGGAGTGTGTGGAACTGCTTCCTTACTGAAAATGTGTAGGTATACAAGCAGGAAAGGGAAAGAAAAAAACACTATTACTAAGAAGTATAATACACACCAATATTATTCAACTGGCTAGTATAAATTTATAAATGTAAAGGTTAAATATATTGAAAAAATGTATACATCCCAGTATTTAAAATTTTTGAGAATGTTCTAAGTTTGTATATAATGATGTTGAAAAAGTTAACTCTGGCTTTTACTTCTAGCTTTAGAGACTATATAGTTTTGAAAAAATATATATTCATATCAATATTTAAGAAGTGCATTTTTTTAAATGATGAACAGATTTGTATCAATAAAATTATTTATCATGAGTTAGAATAAAATTAATTTTTTAAAGTACTTTTAGTAAAAAAAACTTGGCTGCATACAAACATTTAGTTTATTAAAACCATTCTTGTTTTAATTATGATTAAAATAAATAAATTCAAAGATGTAACTGACCACTTGAAAACATGCAAGAAAACAATTAAATTTTGTTTTCATTATTTTCTTAAATGGGAAATTGGGGGGAAAAAAGGATTTCTTTTAAAAAAAAGTTACATCTCTGAACTGCATTCCTATAACCACTAAACAAATCTAATAACATAAAGTGAGGGCATTTCATTTAAGCTGTGAGAGATACAGAATTAGGAAATTGTAAAACATAAACAATTACTTTTAAAATATTAAACAGTTACTAACCATTCTTTAAAATAAAAAAATCTAAAACTACTAGCTAAACACAAGAAAAATAGTATGAAATATAATATATTTCAATAAAAGTGTTCAAACAAAAAAAAAAGGAGGCTACATGACAGCCAATATGGAAAGCATCCCCAAGCAAACACTATACTTCAAAGAAATCACTAAAGGGAGAGTCAAACAGGGCACTGTATTTGGTTGCAACTGTTATAAATACTGCACCTGTCTTCAACAGTCTTAGCCACTGCAGGAACATCAATGGACTCAGGAGCCCACATAGGAATTGGCTCCTGGCGCAGTACAATGGGTCTAGATTCTGGTGGTGAAGGTGCTTTTCGCACTCTCTGTCTGGGAGTAGGAGCAGGGGCTGCAGGTTTAGGGGCAACCGGTGCAATGGGAGGGGGTCTGATTGGTTCACTGTAATGTAAACAGCTCATAATGAAACAGTGATAAGGCAAGTGCCAATGTTTTGGGAAAGTGTGATAGATCATTATCAGACACCAATTTAGAAATTTTTTAAAATGGTGACAAAATTTTTTAAAATTCTCTAATGTTACAGCCACATCAATAGCACAATTTCATACTACAACTATGAATTACATCTAACACAAATACTGACACAGTTTGAAAGAAAATAACACATAAAAAATTATTATTAAAATACATTTACTAAATGTAAATTTTTATATATAATTTAAAAAGAAACAAAAAAAATTTTTTTTTGTCTAAATAAAAAGATAAAAATCTCAAGTAATTATCATTTGTAAACTTTTTGATTTTTATGTATATTGCTTTGTAAATTATTATATTGAATGTCATAAACTTTAACTGTAGGGATTAAAATACTTATAAAATAGTTTTGAAATAAAAACAAAACGACAATTTAAGTCCACTCCATGCAATGTTTTATTCACCTTGGAGGCATATAGAGCTCAGTCTTCTTTGGCTCTGCTTTTTGTACAGGTACAGGAGGGGCCACTGGTCTATTATATATTATATTGTGAAGTTAATATATACACAGTTGTTTAAACAATCAAATTTATGTGCTTTATAAATGTGGGCACATGAAATATGTATATATAAGCCTATATATATATATATTTTTAAACCTGGACAAAAAAAACATTTAGTTGTATGCAGGTAAAATAATGATAAAAAATTTAGATAACAGCCTTACCTGTACTCTTTCTGCTTAGGAACAAGAGGAACTGTGGCTTCAAAAGGAGATAATTCAGGTTTAGGAGCAGTTGCGACTGGTGTTGCACTGAAAAAGAATAATTAAGTATAAACATTCAAGCACCAAAAATGCATAAATTAAAAGTGTAAAAAAAAGTGTTAAAAATGTATATTTGCAAAAGCAGTGAAAATATTAATGTTAATCAAAGCTACAATAATATAGATGTATCATTAAAACTAATGGGGTTATTTATTAAATGAACAACAAATACATTTAAACTATATTAATTAAAGAATCATAATTTGTTTTGTTATTATTTAATCATGTGAGTTACTTTAAAATGTATACTTTGAAAATTCAAACTAGCATAGCAAAAAAATATTTCATTCTTAAATTTCATATTGTTCCTTATATAGTTAATCTATTTTAACAGTTTAGTAAATCAATTGTTAATAAGCACTTTAAAAAAGGAAATGGGGGATAAACCATGCCACCTTGTAACCTGAATAACTTTTTAAAAAAAAACTTTTGATTTTCAGGTAATTAAAAGATAAGATAGTAAGTATTCATTTGAAATTAATCCTTCAAAATCATTCAATATTCAGGTTACAATATATAGATTTATAGCAAGAGATTCAAACTTTTTAAAACTAAGGTTGCAGGCTCTTAAAAGGTACTCAGAGTAGAATTTTACAAGGAATTCATTTAATTAAAAAAAAGTTTTAAATTATTATGAAATACTTTTACTTCTTTTGAATTTATCATGCAAGATATTTATGATGATGTGCATGCAAAAAACAGTATAAAAAACTATTAAGGAGGAACTTTGTTTGAAATATATGCGTATACCTTAAAAGTTTTTACTAAAAACCCAAACCACAAGTGCAAGGCACAAAATACTATTTCTGTTCTAAAGTTCAAACAAAACTACTGGAGTGGAAATATTGCAATGGAAAAAAAATCTGATAAAAATGGAGAAAGTTGAAGGAGAAAACCACTCTGGTAAGCACACTGTGTTTCAAAGACTACCTTGATAAAACCTTTTCAGGCTTAGGAGCAACAGGTGGAGGAACTTTAATTATGGCAGTTACTGGTTTCAATTTAGGCTCAAAGTCTTTCCTAAAGATGGTTGTCCAAAAATTCATTATGTTAATAATAACTTAAAGTTAGAAAAATATTCTAAGTTAGACCTATGTAGGTGATGTATTATTTTTTTTAAAATATTATTTTAAGTGAAGTATTTTGTTTGTACTTACTGAGCTTCTGAAATGTATGATGGCTCTGGTTCTCCTAGCTCCATTGGCAATTTCCTGTGTAATTAAACAGTAAATGGTTTTGTAAAATAATGTACGGATTAAATGCAGCAGAGATATTACAGCACATTTTTCTCAGTGCTTTTTCAAATCCAATTTATAGAAAAATTATTTCATAGGGTTATTTTAATCATTAACATCAGTAAACATTTATAAAGATAATTATTATAAAATGAATAATTTTAAACATGCCTATATAAGCTCAAGAATGTAAATAGTTGACAACTATGTCTAGTTAACAAAAACTACAATTTACTAAGAAACAATAAGGTTACAAACTAAAGATAAAAATGAGGTATTATTTTAACAAGACAAAAAACAGCATAAAGTATACAGTTTAACTGACATGTTAGAATAAATCAAAACTAAACTGAAAAGAAATTTCCTTAAGATTTTAAGCTGAATACTGAAAACAATTTGATAAACATCATCCATGCAAAGTACTAAAACAGACATTGTTTTAAATTAATTTCTTTCACACTATGTCATGCACTACTCTAGATTGAGTCTTTTCATGCCTTATCATCAGACCTTTCTAAATCTTGTTCATCAATCAATCTCAAGTAACCCCTTTCATTATCTGATGCATAACTAATAAGCTGCACTGGTCCAGTCTTATGGATGTCATAGCTAAATTTCATGGAAATTACAAAATAAGTTTACAAATAATGGATAAACATCAGTAATTTAATATGGCGAAATTAAAATTTAGATGAAAACTCAAAATATTTGGAACATTTTTATTTAACATTTAAAATAGAATTTGATGTATTTCCAATAAACATAAAACAACTAAGGCTTAAAACAATCCATGCGTGAATCTCAACATGCAGTAAGCACCTTGGAGAAGGTTCTCTGGGTTTAAACAGCACAGTGATTGGTTTGTGTGGTCTCACTGGAGCTGGCTTAGGCCTTTCATCAGGTTTGCTGAAGAGTTTCTTTGCTTCAGAAATACTCTTGCGCTGATACTCATCTTCCTCCTCAGTCAACATGGGTGTAGTGACTTCTGGCGTAGGCGCTGGTGGTGCCGGTACTGGTTTGGTAATGAATGGCTTGGTAGCAACTGGTGGTGCTGCTTTTGGTGTCAGAGGTTTCTCTTGTGGGGGCTGAGGTCTGAGTTTAGGTACATGTATGAATTATTATCAACTGCACTTACAATAAAACTATCATGCAACTTTGAAATTATGTTGAACACTGAAGTTATCATAACATTGGTCTATTTTATCACTGCTAACACCCGCTAAATAGGAATTCATTTCATCAAAAGATTTTCTTGTAGTTATTCTGATTTCAGTAAATTTTTGCATGCAAACACAGATATGGCATGCTAGCTCCACCTCTTTAGCTGCTCCTCCTTGATCAAACGCAATGTTGCGCTGTCATGCTCTGTCACATAAGAAATTTGCTGGACTGGACCCTCTGATTGGATCTCATAGTGGCTGATAAATAATGGTCATTATTTATTGATACAATTATCAACACAAAGTCTGACATTAAACATGGACAATTTTTGTAAAAAAAAATATTTTAAGTATTATAAAATTTGTATTTTCATTAAACAAAATTGCACAATGGAATTTTAAAAATATTGTTACACGAGCCGGCCCGCGGCATAACATACGCCGCTATTTAGTTGTTTCTAATTTTCAATAATTCATAATTTGTGAATTCGACAGTACCAACGCTGACACTGAAAATATTTCTTTAAAACACTATAAGTAGCTCGTTAAGGACCATAACCCCCCCCCTTCCTTTCCCCCCCCTCCTCCCCCCCCCCCCCCTACGTTTAAAATCGTTGGCTCTGCTTGTAAACATTTAGAGTGAACACAGCTCACTAAAACCATGTAGGGGTGGGGAGGTAGGGAGAGCGTTTGCAGCTTGTTTTCTAACGGCTCGAAGAAGAGAATTATATATATAGATTATAAAACATTATGTAGCATCACATAACATTTGAATAATTGATTAGGTATGTAGGCTTATAACAAAAATTTTAATGCAATTATAATAGGTGTTGCACCTTCCTACACACTTAACTTGTATTATAACCATTTAAATAAAATAAATGTAATCTACATGTATGATCTGTGATCAAGGCTTAATTTCTTATGAACTTGTTTCATTTATAACTAGTAAATCTCATGTTAGAGGAAGATTATTTTTCAAATATTGTAGAATCATGTAAGTAATATTAACAAAAGCTCCTTTATTATAAGCTGTTACATAATTGACATATTAACATGTAGAAAAAAATGTAGGTTTTTCAACTGTGGTAGCACTGATTTAAATGCCTTTAAAAATATTGAAAAATTTGAACTTACGGTGGTGAGACAACCCTCTTTGGTCCTGCTTCCGTTGAGGGTAGTTTCTTCAACTTGTTCAAGTCTGGCTGTACAACTAGCTTAGCACGGGTTGAAGCTGTACCTGCCACATTAACAGCTGAGCACTGGAGCCAGGCACTGTCACTTGGCTCGGCACTTTCAATGATCAGTGAAGATCGACCATGGTCTACCTCAATTCTAAAGAAATTAATAATCCATGAGTTACAAAATGTCATCATCAAGATGTTGTTTTATACTGTGTTTTTGTTTCTTCAACTTAAAACTTGTGGTAAATTTATATCTAAAATAAATATACCTGTAATCCAAATCGCTAACCATGCGACCATCTTTCTGCCAGCTCATCATTGGAGCAGGTACTCCAGTCGCCATGCAGGTCAGAGTTACAGGCTGGCCTTCACCAACTGTGTAATTCTGCATGCGATCTATGAACCTAGGTGGCTGCATTTGTTCCTTTTCTAAAATTTTAATAATTTAAATTAAAATTAAATAAAACTTAAGTTTCTTTATCTATTTCATCAATCTGATTAGTTTCAAGTAATATAAAGTAGAAATTGAAATATTATTTTGCCCACCTAAAACGTTTAGGTTCACAGTGAAAGTTTCTTCACCACCACGATTTTTTGCCACACAGGTGTAAGTTCCAGCATCGATACGTGAAGCTGAGATAATCAACAGTGAGTTTACACCGTCCTCATTGATAACAATCTGGAATAAAATAAATATTACCAGGGTTAATGTCTATAACATTTACAATTTCATTTAAACTATACTTTAAATAAAACTAAAGATATGGGAGAATCATTAAAAAATAAATGTATTTGATGGACAGAATAAGATACCTTGTGGTTATCATCATGATGAACTTGTACTCCATTCCTGTACCAGAACAACTCAGGCACTGGGCGTCCCAAAACCAAAGTGTCAAATCTAACTGGATTGCCTTCTCTGACTTCAAGGTCTTCTGGGATTCTCTTGAACTCAGGCTTTGAGATGGTTTCATAGACACCACCTTTGTCTTCTGATCCACGACGTGAGCCCCTCACAGAATCCCTGAATATGACATTTTTTAAATTATATTTAGCCCTAATTCTATTTAAGAAGTAAGAATTATTTGAGTCTAAAACACTATAAATTTTTACAAAATAGTTTACTTTAATGGTAATTATAAAAAAAGTATGACAAATGTGAAATGCAACAAACCTTCGCAGGATTCTCTGAAGAGTCTCAGCAGACACAAAAGAAGTGGCATCAATGTTGCCTACAGCATCAACAAACAGCTGACCAGAACAAGTTGTTTTTCCAACTGAGTTAACAGCAAGCACTGTGTAATGGCCTGTATCTGAAGCCAATCCAGTATGGATACGAAGAGTGCAGTATCCATCTTGAGTGTATTTTATTTCGTATCTAGTGGAGCGTTTGATTCTTTTGCCATCTTTATACCAGGCAATCTGTTATTAAAAATAATACTTTTTTAATAAAACAAAACTTTTTTTTTCTGAGTAGAAATCACTGAAATGTAAGAATTCTCCATTCTTTATACACTATTTTGAATTGTATGTAACAATCAAAACAATGAAATATTACCTTTGGTCTTGGTCTGCCCGTGACTTTGCAGACAAAGGTCACATCAGTGCCCTCCATAAGTCTGAAGTCCTTCAGTGGCTGAACAAACTGTGGAGCCTGAGCATGAGTGCTGGTGACACGCTCTTCTGGTTGGTCAGTGTCATATTCCGTTTCAGTTTCAGAATGGAGTTTAATCTTCCCTTCTCTGTACTCTATTTCTTCCATCAGTCTTCTCTCAAAACTTGAAACAACAAATTCCTACAACACAAAAAAAGTTTGCTTTAAAAAGATGTTTAAAATCAGAATTAAGTTAAGATAAAGTATTTTCTATTATCTTTAAATACAGACATTATCTGAAGTGGAAAATATAATGAATGTCCATTTCCATAATACTAAATTTCAGTAAACTTACAGGTTCTGTACTGATTCTTCTTTCCACACTCTTTGAAAGTCTTCGCTCAGTTTGTGGAATATAGAATTCCTCAGGGGTCGCCTGTCTCTTGCCTTGTTCTTCTTGCAAGAAACGCTGCAAGGGTGAAATGTCTTCTTCCATTGGCTCTTGTACTCTAGGCCCTATAAAATAATTATGGCATTCTTTAAATAATTGTTTTTTTAATAATTTACAGTAAAAATCTTCTTCTTCTTCGTTCTTAACTTTTAGTGTTGGAAGGGATCTAGCCTTATCTGCCAGAGAGTTTGAAATCAACTTTTTTTTTTTTTCGAATTTATCAACCATGAGCTTTTTGCAGACTTGACCACACCTCCATCACGATTAAGGATTACGTGTCAACTGGTTATGCGCCATTGAGGCCATTGACTCCGATTTCAGCCTGCTTTTCTTTTTGGATTTGCTTCCATAGCCTTTGTCCAACCAAGAACAAACTACAAGCCAGCAGTTGTTTGATTTTGGAGTTGTCTCTCCTAGAAGAGTGGCTGTCCCCAGCTAACCAGCCTCATCTGCCCGGGGGTTCGAACTCGAGACTTTTCGGTTTAGCAACCATGAGCTTTACCGACTCGACCACGCCGACCCCATACAGTACAAATAAAATGTAACTACTCAATTAAAAAAACAATATTTACATAATAATTAGCAGTTTCATTCCCTACACTAGGTTTTTCTAAAAATAAAAGCTATAGAACAGTAGTAAGAACACCACAAGTGTCAATATTTATCAAACAGAAAGAGATCAGGAATTAATCCTCAAAGGTTGGTAGATAAATAAAAGAATTAATATGCACAAAAAATGCACTTCTTTATTACCTTCATGAATGACCTTGGCAGAAGTGGCGACCTCTCCTGCAGGATTCATGGCAGTGCATGTGTATTCACCTTCATCATCAGGATGTGCCTTTGTGATGAGAAGAGTGCAACGGCCAGTCCTCTCATCAACTGTTACTCTATGCCTTTAGTGAATTCAATAAACTTTTGTGAAAAAAACTATAACATTTCAGAGACTATGTACATCATGTTATGGTGGATGTCAGAGCTAGCTAGAAGCTAATATATCTGATATATTATAACATTTATAGTTAGATAAAATGTATTAAAAGTATTCTTTACCTTGGTCCATCAAAAATTGGTTTTCCAGCTTTGGTAAAGATGACCTGTGGGAAAGGTTTTCCCAGGACACGACATTCCAATTTGATGTTGGTTCCTTCCACCATTCTGACATCAGGTAAACGCTGAACAAATGATGGTGGAATATGTGCTGGTGGTGGTGGGGGTGTGAATTTTGGAGCAGTCGTCACTGGGGAAAATCCTTCTGACTTGGGAGATGGCAGCAGAGGTGCTGTTGGAGTTGGGTGGAACAGAGGTAGAGCTGGTGGAGCTGTCTCTTGTGGGGATAGAGGACCAGCTGCAGAAAAATGTAGACATATATCATCTAAGTGTAATATGTTATACTTGCAGCTTCAATATGAGAATTTTAACTAAATAATAATTGTACATTACTTAACTTAATATAATGATTAGTGTTAAATTTTAATAGGTAACAAACTGTAGCACTATTTAACTTTAGATAATGACTTACGTTCAACTAATAGCAATGACTCTGAGAAGACCGATCCCTCTGCATTAGTTGCAATGACTCTGAATTTGCCAGCATCTTCAGGGAATACTTCTACAATAGTGAGTCTGTATGTTTTATTGTTTCTTGAGAGCTGGTAGTCTGGGGTGCTTGAGATTTCAATGCCTTCTCTGTACCATTTAATGATTGGCTCAGGGTGGGCTTCGACTGTCACTTCAAGGATTACTGGCTCACCTTGTTTTGCGTAAGTGTCCTTCAAAGGCTGTGAGGAGGATTGGAGGTGTTTTATAAATTTCTAATTAATAATTAAAAAACTTACTGTGTGGACAAAAACAATATGTAAAAGAAAAATTACATAAATTTAAGAAATTATGTCATTGCGCAGGTGAAAATTTTTTTTTAAATGTAATGAGGCTGTTACCTGTGTAAATTTAGGCTTCTCCTTGTCAGTGACAAACGGACGTCTTGGAGCCATGTCAGCCGGCATAGGTTCAGGTGGGGCACCAAAGAGGGCCACTCGTTTTTCAAAGGGAGGCAAGTCTGGGTAGCCATCAACCTGCATCTCCAGTTCTTCTCTGAACTTTTCTTCTGCAACAGGTGACTGAACTGGTGATCCTGGTGAAGCTGAAAATTCATATATTTTAAAAATATTTATTATTACATGTATTATTTAATAATAAAATTCAATTTTTACAAACTGCTGGTAGGTCAACACAGCATCAGTATCATAGTTTTTTCTGCCTGTATTACTGCTTTGCTGCTAGAGCAGAGGTCAAGGCCAGAACTACGGTTAATGTCTGGGTTACTGTTGTGATAAAAGCAAACAAATAGCTTCAATGCACCCTGCCAGAAATTTTTTAAGCATAAACCATCAATCTACTTACGCTGGACATATAGGTAAGCCTCTGTAGTTGTTGTGCCTACAGCATTGGTGGCTACACAAGAGAATTTCCCAGCATCCTCTGGGAAAGTTTCAATGATTTGTAGGCGATACATCCTATCAGATCTGGACAGCTCAAAATCAGGGGAAGAGACAATCTCCACATCCTCTCTGTACCACTTAACCACTGGTTCAGGGTTACCTTCAACTTTGACCTCAAAGATGACCCCGTCTCCTTGTTTTGCTTCAATATTACTGAGTGGCTGGAAATATTTTTCAACACAACAATGTTAATAAGTCAAATAATTTCTATATTTTTACACTAACCACAAAAGATAAAATAACATTTTAAATTATTTAATGAATGTACCTTTGTAAAAACAGGCTCAGTTTTCTGAGAAACAACAGGTGGTGGAGGTCTTTGAACTGGTTTCACAGGTGTTGGGGGAGCAACTTTCCTGTATGTCTCTTCCTTCTTAGGGACAATTGGCTGTTCTACAGGCTTTTTCTCAATAAGTATTTCTACTTCCTGTTTAGGAACAGGTTTTGCAACTGGGGGTGGTGGCACTTTTGGTAATGGTGGAGCAGGAGCAGCTGAAACAAAAAGGAAATTATTTGATTAAGGATTTTCAAAAACTTTTATCACAGCTCTACTTAAACCAAAACTTGAAGAGATTATTTAACTAAATCATAATAAAATGTGTCTTTTAACAATGGTATATTGAAATCAATCTTTGTTTGTTCTAGCATAGTAGCTTAGCTAGTAATACAATTATCTTAAAGAAGATCCAATGATTTAATTAAATACAATTCTTGCTATTGCCTATTTAAAAGAACATAACTATTACTGAATAAAATATCTTCAAGTCTGACAATAATGAGTAAGATTTCATAATCAGTTAATGATGTACACAAATACAATACTGTAAATATGAAAGACAAATGTATATAAGAAATGCATTTTAGGCTTACCTTCCACATGGATATAAGCTTGAGTCTTTGTTGTGCCCTCAGCATTCATAGCCACAGCTTCATACCTTCCAGAATCTTCTGGGAAGACCTCAGCAATGATCAGCATGTAGCGGTTGTTCTTCTGTAGCACTTGGTAATCTAGTGAGTTGTTGATCTCAATGGTCTCTCTGTACCACTTTACTATTGGCTCTGGCTGACCCTCAACAATAATTTCCAACACAAGTCTATCTCCTTCTCTAACAGTCACATCTTCCAATGGCTAAAGAAAAAATAATGAAAAAAAAAGTCACAGATTACGTTTTTAAAAGTAGCTGAATTATAAAAAAATTTCATGTTCTTTTATTGATTTTGTGAATCTCAATGTGAAATTTGATTTACAAAATTTTAAGGCCAATACTGAATAATTTAATGTGCAGTGATTTTAAAAATTTTACCTTGTAGAAAACAGGTTTTTTCTTATCAGCGACAAAAGGCCTTTCTTCAGCAGGAGCTTTCTTTACTGGCGTTATTTTCTCTTGGACTGGCTTTGGACGAGGAGCTGGAGGAGCTTGTGGCTGCTGTGCCTCATCTCCAAAGAGTTTGAACCTGGCCTCAAAGGGAGGAAGTTCATGCTCTATCTGCATGTCCAACTCATGTCTGAACCTCTCCTCTGGCCTGGGAGAGACTGGTGTAGGAACAAAGTCAGATGGTCTCTGAAGCTTCGGTATTTTAGCTATAGGCTGTTCTTCAGTAACAGGTCGTGGAGACCTTGAAGCTGGGGACTTGGATGGGACAACTTGCTCATAAACTGGTTTTCTGTCCGGAGCTCTTATTGCTAATGGCTGTGGCCTCTCTTGTATGGCTGTAAAATAAATAAACAAATAATATTTCAAATATTTTTAAAAATTTTAAAAACTATATTTAGAAGTTTTGGAACATTGATAAAAAAAATTATAAATAAACCAAGAACTTACGCTGTACATAAAGCTGTGCGTGGCAAATAGCCTCTCCTGCAGGGTTCTCAGCCTTCACACTGAACTTTCCAGTGTCCTCAAAGAAAACTTCTGGAATGTACAGTGAGTGAATGTCTCCTTGCTGAGTGATTTGGAAGTCTGGGGAACTGATCAGTCGGTTGCCTTCTCTGTACCATGAAACATTAGGAACAGGATCACCTGTTACCCTGACAACCAGTCTGATAGGCTCGCCTTCATGAGCATGTTCTGTCTTCAACTTTTCAGTAAAACCAGGTGGCACCAGGGTAGCTGAAAAATACATTTATACAAACATGAAGTCTAATACAGGTATTTAGAATATCTCAATGGATCCAATACTTAATTAATAATTTTATAATTGAACAATCTAATGTGTCTGAATCTATGTTTACAAATGTATTTTAAAGAATTTAATTTTTAAAGATGTAAAAATAGTTTGATGGTGTAGGGGGAAGGGTGCTTACAACAAATATTTCTTATTATGAAAATATGTCTTTGATGTAATGTATCTGAAGATATTTTATCCTAAGAAAGCAAAACTAAGTTGTATAATCAAACCAGCAACAAACCTCTGACAACCAGTTCTGCAGTGCTGGATGCTTTGCCTGCTTGGTTTTCTGCTGTGCATGTGAAGTGACCACTGTCTTCTGTGAACACTTCTGGGATGGTGAGTGCCACACGACCATTAAAGTATGAAATTTCAAAATCAGCTTGGTCAGAGAGTTGCTTCCCTGCTCTGAACCAACGAATCACAGGCTCTGGTTTACCTAAGTAAAGAAAATACAAATTATTTGTATCTTTCCAGGAAAAATTATAGATACTATTAAATTCTTTTAGTTTCAACGAGCCTTTGTTTCATTCAGTCTTGTTTTGTAACCTGTTTGTGATTGTTTGTCTTGTATGTTGCGCTACGCATCGGATCACCCGAAAGGCGTGTCCGTGTGTTCACAACAAATCCTTTATATGAGGTAACAATACAGAAATGCAATTACATTTTAAAAAGTATATACAGTATCTTACCAGTGATGATGCCTTCAAAAGTAACTCTGGTTCCCTCTGTTACTTGCATGCTCCTCAGAGGCTGGACAAAGTTTGGTGGTACAGGGACCATGATAGTCAAGTCTACTGGTTGGAATTTTGGAGGGATATCTGTGGTGATGGTAGTGGCGTATCTCTCAAGTGCAGTCATGCGCTTCTTCGGCTTAACTTCTGTCATTATGGTTGTAGAGTGGTGGCTTTCTCCTCCAGAGGACATGTACCTCTCTTCTGACATGAAAGTATGACTGACACGTTTCTCTGTCTTTGTCACAGTTTGAGTGCTATAATGGGACAAAAATTTAGCATCAGTTTTTATACTTATCTAAGCAAACCATGCACACACAAAAAAAGTTGTTATAATTAAAAGGTCTGTAAGTTTCAGCAGATTTATTTTCTAAAGCTACAAAAAAGCCTTCTTGTAGAATGCAATGGTGCAATTAATTTTTAATTTTTTTTTTGTTTCATTAGAACTGTCCGGAAAAAAAAATAGTAAACTTACATTTCTGATTCTGACCATGATGGGTAACCATCAAGCATGTCACCAGAATCTGGTCTTTTGGTTCTCTGTACTGTAGGTCTTGTGACAGGTACTAAAGGCATTGTTGGCTCTACAGTCAACAGAGCAGAACAAGTAGCTTTTCCACTGGGATTCTCAGCTGTGACGGAAAATCTACCAGCATCTTCATCAAAAACTTCTGGAATAAGTAGACGGTAGGTGTCTCCTTCCATACTAGGGATGTAGTCCTGGGAGACCAATGGTTCTCCATTGAATTGCCAGGTTATCTGTAACAAAACAAAGGGTTATCAAATTGCTAAAACTCTGGCCTAAAATAAGTATTAGCTTCTTATAAAAATGACTAAAAGGGAGAATACAGTACCATATCAAGGAATTTGGTTATTTGATATAGTTAGAGTCAGGTTTAGGATTAGCATTGGGGGATAGGGTTAAGGCTTATGATTAAGGCCAATATAATAATCCTAATGGCCTTTTCCAAGTAATAATAAAGTGTAAGAATGTACACACACCTTTGGTTTTGGCACACCAGTGATAGTACACTCAAAGGTGACAGAATCTCCTGGTTTGGCACCGATGTCCTGGAAGAGCTTAGTAAACTCAGGTGGTGATTGAGGAACATGCTCTCGTTTGCCTACTCTCTTCCTCTCCATGGGTCCCTCTTCTGGCACAGGCTCCACAGTTAGCTTGGCTAGGCAGCTGGCCTCTCCAGCTCTGTTTACAGCCTTGACTGTGTAGTTGCCACTGTCTTCATCAAACACTTCAGGGATTGTCAGAGAGTGGACATCAGCAAAGGCAGTGATCTGGATAGAAAGAAAAGAAATATTTTAAACCATCTGAGCCTTAGATAATTCTTGACATAAATCAACCTAAACATGTAGTATGATTTGATTTATTTAAGTAATAAAACTCAATTAACTTGTGGTAAGATCATAATAAACTTCTTTCTACTCTGACAGTTGATTTAATTTTTATTAAGATCAGTAACTGAATATTTTATCTTGTATTATCAATTAGAGGAGAAGGGAAAGGCAATGCCATAATTGGATGTAAGAGATCAGAGATTGGACTTGGCTTTCAATTGCAGAACTACTCCGTGAAAAATGGTAGAAAATTATAAGAAAAAAAATTGTGGTGCCCCAACAACCCCAATTAGGGTTCAGGGACTATTGAATGATTGCTTGATTATTAATTAAACATATGAAGCTTTTTGTGTTTACCTGGAAGTCTGGTGAGCTCTCCAGTGGGTGGTTATCTCTGTACCATGTCACTGAAGGCAATGGGTGGCCCAGCACACGGCACTGCAGGCAAACACGTTGTCCAGATTTAACATTCTGGTCTCTTAAGGGCTGGGTAAACCTGGGTGCTGCCACTTCAGACACAGATACGTCACTGAGTTCACTTACAGCTGTGAGTTTTAAAAAATGGTATCAATGTTTTGAAAACTTCTAGATGATAGTTAGGTCAATGATAAATACTAAACAAATAGATAAATGATAAGATATATAAATTTATTAAGAATGGAAAAAATAGATAACAAATATATATACTTACGCTCAACATGAAGCTTACAGCTGGTTTCTGCAACTCCCTGTGGGTTTCTAGCTGCACATTTAAAGTATCCACTGTCATTTGGCATAGCCTCTCTTATGACTAAAGTGCACCTATCTCCTTCAAACAGTAGTTGGATGTCTGGGGATTCTTTGACAGGTTTCTCATTCTTGAACCAAATCACCTATTCAAAATAGATGGAAATGATGATGGTTAAAAATTAAAATAGTACAGAAATGAAATTAATTCAAATGCATCTCATTTACAGATATTATAATTCATAACATTTAAGGAATTTGATATAATCAGTCAAAGCAAGCATTAAACCTGTTCATTATAACATTTTGTACTCTTTTAAATGGAATATTTTGTACTCTTTTAAATGGAAATGATTTATCCTTTCAAACAAATCAAACTAGACATTATGAATGCTAGCCCTTCTTTGAAAATTTTAAATGCTATGTACAATCCCATTAAAAAGTAATGACATATAATATTTCATAGATACAAAACTAGTGTACATATGTGAACACATCACAACTTAATTGATCATACCTCTGGTTCAGGGTGTCCAACCAGTATGCAATCTAAACGAACTCTTGTTCCTTCAGGAACTTCCCTGGTGGGTGGAAGTTTTTGTACAAATTGAGGTGGGTGAGATTCCAAATCTGCTGATGCCTGGGATGCTTCATCACTGTGTAAAAATAGAGCTCTTTCAATTCAAAAGTAGAATAGCACATAGTTAAAGGAATTAATGTCTGATGGGATGACAGTATAGAGGGCTTAGAAAAGCTTTGGTAAAATTGTTGTTAAAAAAATCTAAGATAACAATGATTAAACTGTGATTATACTTCTTTTAATGGCTCTAACTGCATGGTAAAACTAATGTGCAGACCTTTTTTTAGATAAACAAGCACTTACCCAGGACTGGAATAGAATGGTTCAATAACAACTTGGCAAACAGAAGTAGCTTCACCAGCTACATTACGAACTATCACAGTATATGACCCTGAGTCTTCTGTGTAAGCTTCACGAATATCCAGAGATGAATAGTTGGTCGTCACAGTAATCTAAACATTTATAATATTAAAGGAAATGTGTATTGGTATTGGAAAATAAAAAGCTAAAGAAACAGGTTACATTTAAAAAGTGGAACTTTTCTATTTTTTAAAACAATAAAAGATGATCACAAATGTAAGAATATGTAAAACCAAATTAAATACTAGTCAATAGTTATTAAACAAAATAAAAAAATTCTAACCTTGTACATGTTATTTGGTACGATGCGGTTGCTGCCTCTAAACCAGATAACTTCTGGTGGTGGTGCACCAGTAAACCTAACCTCTAGATGAAGTGTCTTGCCTTCAGGAGAGGAAACATCTTGCAGTGGTTGTTGAATAGTAGGAACTTGTGTTGCTAGAAGAAGAAGTACAGGTATTGTTAAAATTAAATACACATAAAAAAAAATAAAGTAATAGTAAAATATTAAAACATAGATCAAAATTTAAAGAACTAAAAACAAATTTACTTGTACGGCTTGTTTTATAATTTCTTTAAAGCAATCTTAACTTAACATTTTAAACAATACATGAGATCTAATGCTAGGGATGCTGTGCATGCAAAATGTATTAAAATGTAAATAAAACATGTCAATTAGAAATCAGAAATAAAGCTGTTTTAAAGAAAATATTAATATGAAAACAAGAAAAAAATATGAGTGTCTAGTAATATTCTGTTGTTTTTTTTTTAATTAGCTGTATTTGAAACTTAAATTGACATTGAACAAATAATCTTAAGTTAGTAATATAAAAAATAGTTTAAATTTAATTACTGGTGAAAAAAGTATTGTTTACCCTAAATCAAGCATTGTAGAATTAAATTGATTTTCATGAGGAAAAAATCATAGCATGCGCTCTAAGTAGAATAGTTTTCTATTAAATATAATACAGTATAATTCATTTTATATATTTAACTTGATTTCAAGTTTTAACTAATAATGTTCTAAAAAATTCTACAGCATTAATAAACTTACTGTGCACTTTTAAAAAGAAATGAAAATAATTACTGAATAGGTTTATTTTGTTAATAATCTAAATTTTTTTAAACTGAAATATTTAGTACTTTTTTAATCAAATGAAAATTTAAAACTTAGTTTACAGAAATAAAAATTTTGTGGTAAATAATAAATGAAATTTATAGTAAGGATTCCTCACACATGAAAAAACCCATAGCCTGAAAAATAATTCAAAGCCATAGAATTGAAGAGAATTAAGAAAACAGTAAATGGTATCAGTCATTCAGTCCATGCAATGTAGTCATGAGAAAAATTTGCTAAAAGAAACTAAAAAGAATTGACATGCTGAGCAATGGTGATTCCATGCTGACCAATTAACAGGCAGCCCTTACGTATGACTGTAAGTCTGGCTGAAGATGAAGATTCACCACCAGGGTTGATGGCCCGGCATGTGTACCGGGCACTGTGATGGCGCTGGACTTGGCGAATCTTGAGCGTGCAAGTGCCATTGATTTTGGTAATGATAAACTCGGGTGAGTTGTCAATGTTTATGTCATCCATGTACCATGATATAGATGGGGAAGGGATTCCAACAACATGACATTCAAAAGACAAAGGTGAACCTTCAGGTACGTCAACAGATTTCAAGTTTCTGGTAAACTCAGGGGGTAAGATCTGTTGGTGGGTCTCTGCAGTGGAATTTATTCATTGGTTTATAATGAGACATCAAGTTTTCTTTTTCTGACTTCTATAGGAAAACTATCTACTTGTAAAAATACTGAACAGGTAGTGATGGAAGAAGGAATTGTGGAATGTACAATATTAGATCAGGTCATAATGCAGTAATTTTATCTAACAGGAAATATCTTTGTGGAATATTTTACAATAGTCAGGATATATCAGGTAAGAGGTCAGGTAGTTCATTCAGGTACATCAATAAGGCTTATTCAGACTTACCTTTAACAGTGAGATAAGCTGAAGACTCAGCCATACCAGCTTCATTTGTGAAGCGACAAGTGTAGCGTGCTGTATCTTCAGAAAATGTTTCTTCAATAGTCAGAGTGGCTACACCATTCATGAATCGTGTTTCATAGTCTGGACTAGTCAGTGGTAGATTATCCTTGTACCAACGAACCTCAGGAACTTGGTCACTGTCAACTCGGCATTCAAATGTAAACCTATATTTTTGGAAATGATGAATTTGTTTTCATAAAGAAAGTTTTGTATAAAAAAAATGCATGTATATATAACACATAGATAGGCCTATATACAAATATATTTTTAAAATAGAGCGGTTCAAATTTATCTAAATAAATGAATAAAGCAACGTGATCTTTAAGTTAACTTACTTTTCACCCTCCATAACTTCAGCATTTTTCAAGTGCTGGATGATTTTGGGTGGTTTTACTTTGGGTAAAGGAGCAGCAACTCTTGTACTGACATCCTTTGGCATAAACTCATCAACAGAGACAGGCTTGAAAAAAAAAAGAAACAAAGCCATTGAAATTATTTAAATGAGAAGTGAAATAGTAACACAAATAAAAAAGACATTGACCATCAAATTAACAATAGATATATATCAATATATTATCAAGACTGAAAAAAAGACTTTCACTTACTGATTTTCCTTCCAAGTTATCTTTGAGATTGGAAAGCTCATTATCTGCCTGTTCAAATGATTGCATCATGTCTTGATACTGAATAACTAGAGGTCGAACTTTGTTTGCTCCCTGTTCACCTACAGGTAGAGAATAATAAAATAAATGTAGTAAACTATACTTTTTGGGTTTGGTTAATATTAGTTGTAAACTGAGTTTTCATTAAACTCAATCTAGCACAATCAAAAGCATTTTCCTCATTAGACTTCATAGTTTTGTGGGGATATATAACTAACCATAAAGTTTAACTGCTAATTCAGAAATCTTTTGCAGTCTTTCCTCTTGTTTAGATTTGCCTTTTTCAACAAATTTCTCAAGGTTTTTGATAAGATTTTCTGCTTCTTGGGGAGTCTTGCACTGTGGAGCTTGATGTCCTGTGTCAATGAGCAGCTGGCTTCCTTCACGCATCCAAAGCTCACACTAAAATTTTAAAATAAAATGTTACTTAAATACATAAACGTGGTAAAACTAATTAAGGCCAAGAGATATTTTTTTAATTTACTAAGTTTTATATTTTTAAAGAAATGGAAATTGAGAAAAAGTATTAACCTCTTCTATCAATGTGAAGTATCTAATACTAGAATCGAGCTGGTTTCTATAATCTTTAACTCCAGCATGAAAAGAGCTCCATTTGTTTCGAAGAACATCAGCTTCTCTTCTAATATTATCTGAGTCATAGTGCTCATCTTGTACCATTAGTTCAGCAGTACTGATGAAGCTGTGAATTTTGTCCTCAATCACCTGCGCAATCACCAGTCAAAATATTAGCAACTTTAAAAAAACTGTCTAAAAAGTCAATTACCTTATATTACTTCTAGAACAAAACAATAATCAATAGTTTTCTTTTCTCTAAAATACTTATAATACAAATAAAATTAGCTTTTTATAATTTTGTTGGTTAAGTTTTGAAGGTACTAAGTGCTCTACTTACTTCAACAGTTTTCTCAAACTCTTTGAAAGTCTGTGAGGTCATCTGAGCATTGGGTAAAGAGGTGCCATAGTTTCCTCTTCTTGATTGTAAATGTTGATGAAGTTGATCTATCTCAGAATGGATCTATTTGGTATTTGGACAGAAAATAATTAAAACACCTGAAGCTAATATAACAAAACAAGATGTTGTCTATAATTATTCAGTAGCATGTAAATGGAAGCCCTCATTGTTTGAAATCCAAGTAAACCGTCAATAATAAGAGCATCACTGTTTATTTTAAGTGTTGCTAGTTATTAACTAAGGTAAACACAAATAGGCAAAGTAAAACAGTAGATTGGTTACCATTAATGGAGGCTACATACCTGTCTAAGGTCAAAATTAAATTGACAAATTTGCAGGTTTTGTCTCAGGCGCCGTTCCTGCTCTTCCCATGAATCATCCCATCGACGCCTGGTTTCAGCAGTGACATCCAAAACATGACGGACGTCATCAGATGCGGCGGCACTAGCATCCTAAAAACATAACACAATTTGGTTCATCACAATTATGTTTTATCATTTTCTTGATACTAGCTGCTCAATGTCACCCTTACAAAAATGTTAAGGTTATTTCATTACTATTAAATGACAAGTTGTGTCAATTTCTTTAAAACATGAATGCAAGATATCTTTAATTCTATTTTCAATAATCTAATAATTTATATTACAACACATCTTAATAACCTTCAATGATAAGTGGATGTGAATTAAAAATTATTAAATTTAAAAATTATAATGTACAAACCTGCTGGCGCACACGCCGAACTATTCTATCGCCCTCCTCGGCGGTGTAATTAATAAACTGTGAGACCTCAGTCTTCTTGCGTTTGTGTTGTTCTAGCATAGACTCAGCTTGGTTCAGATCACTTGGAAGGTTGGAATGTAGATATTCCTTCTCTGTCCTCTCAATCATATCATCCAGCTGAGTGTTGAAAAATGAAAAAGCCAAGTTAGCATCTGATAATTGAGCATTTCTTAAAAAGAATCTGTATATCAGTTATCTTTCCTAATAATTTACATAGACATATTATCAATGCAATTTCAGAAAATAAGGTTTCTCAAAATAAACTTAAGAAAATAATTACAATGATACTTTAAGCGCTCCTTAATATTCTCATTTAATTAAAGCAAAATTTTAGCTACCTTTAGATTATAAATAAATCAAATTGATTGATGACGATAGAAAGAATTACAGATATCTACAGCATTTATTGTTAACTTATATTTAAGTTTTGGAAATTATAAGCATATCCCTTACCTGTCCAATATGTTTGTAGAATTCAATGGTCATCTTTAGTAACAGTTGATATTCATTAATCCTGGCCTGGAACCTTTGATGAACCTTGATCAACTCATTAATGATCTGGTCTTTTTGTCCTTTAGTATCTCCTTTCAGGCCAAGAAGTTCAGCAGTTTTAATATGATCTTCAATTTTGACTTGAGCTTCCTGTAAGACAATACTTCACATTCAACAAAAAGAAAAAGAAGTGTAACAAATAATTTTAAATCAAGATTAGGTACAGTGCTTTTCAAAGTCATGCCATGTCAGGCATTAGCCTTCAAAACAATGTAATATTAAAAAGTATATAAAAGAGACCTTCAAAGAAGGATGGATAAAATAACCCACACATTTTGAGAAGCACTGTTGAACCTTTATATTTATTAATTCAAAACATATTTTTAAAAATAAAATAATAATACTTATCCAAAAGGTAAAGTCTGATAAGTGTATATATAGTAGAATAATTTACCTTGCACTTGAACTGAATTCCCCTTACACAACCTAATAATGATCCTAATTTTACCTTAGAGGTAGGCACAAATTCATCCAATTTTTCTTGTAGTTCCCTAGCCTTCTCCATTGTGTTGGCAAGTGTACCCGATATATAGGGTAGGAAAAATTCCTTCTCTAGCTTCATTACGTAATCAATGGTCTGAACAGAACGATTGTGCATATTAAATTAACTGAAATAACTACACCGTCTGTTTTGCTGAAATTCAAGGACTGGTGGCAAAACAATTTTTGAGAATTTCTGGAAGTAGTAAATTATTCAAACAAAAAAATTGGAAAAAAATTGCCTTGTAGTCTTTTCTGGGGTAACTCTTTGAATTGTAGCAGAACAGACTTTGTTGTTAATACTGATTATCTGATGCTACCTGATAGATGGGCACAAAGTGATCCAAGCGAGCTTGCAGCTGATTAGTCTGTTGTAACGAATCACCAAGCTCGCCTGATATGAGTGGGAAAAAGTCGTTCTCAATTTGCATAACTCTATCAATTGTCTGAAACGACAAAGAGAAAAGTTTATTTTGCCACAACCGAAGATTGGCAAAGTGGGGGTTGTGATTATTTCTTTTCAGTCTAAGTTGAAATTCTTCTAAAACAAATTTCTTTGAATATACTTCAGAAAACTTTATTTAGAAAAAAAATGCACTTTAAAAAAAATGAGTTTTTAAAACTCCATGCGCATATGTACAAGAAATTCAGATTGAATATATGCATAGTATACATTGTGCCATAATATAGAAAAGCTCATAGCAAAATAGCAAGAGCAAATAAAGTAGCAAGATATGTAATCATGAAACATGATCATATTTTCCCAGACATAAAAACAGCTGTTTAGAATAAGGCTGTTTTTTTAACAAACTGAATAAAGCTTCCTTAAGAATTCAGTTATGAAGATAAATTGAGCATGATGTTAAACCATAAAAATGGTTTAGGCTTTTCAAAACCTTTTGAGAATTAAAATCTCAAAGGTTGTAGAGTTATTATTCTTTTTATAATCATGTTTTCTTGAGTTTTTCAAAAGAAATGTGCTTTTGCAAAATAAAATAAAAATACTACACTATGACCAAACATAACTTTTCACCAAACAACACCCAAAAGTTCAAAGAATAGCTGTGATTAATAGAAAATTAAAACTTAACTCCAAACAGTGATTTTCACCAAATAACATCAATTGTCAAGGGCTAATTACTAGAAAAAATGTTCAAAGTTTCACAGACTGAGAACAACTTAGGGGTAATTAATGATGTTAATGAAATGAAGCTAATTTTTCTATTAATGTTATTTATATTATTTTTACGTTAAATTTCAACTCACATAAATATTAAGGATGAGGTTAATTTGATATAATTGGTTTTAAATTGTTAATCTGGAAACAGGAAATTATTCAAGGAAAATAAATTTAATTTCAATTAAGGTACTTGTTATTTTATAAAGTTGAATTGATTTGACAATGATTTATGGTGATGGGGTTTCATGCAAATGGATGCAGTTAAAAAATATACATATAAAAAAATGTGAATTGATATTAGTAAATAAATTGTCATTTTATAAACTTTATCTGTTAAAACAATCATGCAATATACATTCAAATCAGACTTGTTTTCAAAATGATGAATTTCATAAGTAAACCAAAGTGCTAAATATTAGTTAAAGCACAATATTTAACCTATAATACGATACTAATAGATCTCAGTTTCTTTAAAAGAAAATATTTTTATTTTGATATGTTTATCTTACCTGGGTGCTATGTTACATTTGCCTTATTGCTTTAATATTGACTTTTGTACTAGGTATTGTTAAAATATTTTTTTTAGCTGTTACTTATCTAAACAATTATGATTAGATTGCAATCAAAGCAGCTTATTTTGCATAGATTTTTTTATTTATTTTAAATTAGTAGCAAAAAACCTGTGCAATGATAATGAATAAGTTTCATACCCTTCGAGCTTCCTGTATAAACTGATGCCATTGTGATTTGAACTGTTTACTCGAGATAACATGTTGTTCCCAAGCCTCCCAGTAGTTAACTACTGAAGAGAAGCGGCTGTCTTCTAAAATCCTCTCCACTGTTTGAACAGAGCTTCGAAGATCTAGGGTTGAGTCATCAGTTATCTAAACAACACAAAAAATATTCAAATCTTTTGCCCATAGCATTATATAAGTAGGCCTACTAACAGGCCTGATTTCTACTGAATTCTTTAACATACCATAGATGCATTTTGCAAGAATTCTTTCCCCTTAAGGTTGAGGTCGTCGAAAATATGTCTTGTGTTCGAAAACATTTCACGCAGTTTATGTACAGCTGAATCAGTAATTTCTTGAAGATCTTCTGTTTCTGACCGTACAATATGTTCCAGCCCATCAAGGTTACTAGAAAGCTGGTTAACAAAATTTGAAAACATGATAAAATGTGTTTTTTTAAAAAATGTTTTGCAAATTAAAAGCTCAAAGTAAAATTATTTTAAATAATTTTATATTAAATATAGACAATTCAAATCATACCTGCTGCGCGAGTCGATGAAAAGAGACGTACATCAGGGCCAACTGAATGCGAGTCTCAACGATACGTTGCAATCTCTGATATTGTTGTTCTGTTTCCTTTGCCTTTTCTGCAGCTTGTTGTCCTGCCTGGTCCCCTGATTGAACCAGTCTTGAGGCTGCACTAGACAAGGCAGATAACTCTGCATTCTTGTCCTGAAATAAATTATTACCATTTTAATACCTTAGCTTTCTCCAAAAGATAAACTTAAAGGAAACTTACATTAAAATGAAGATAAAAGAATAAAGAAATCAATTAGCTACCCTGATGTCTTCATCTAGTTGTTCATGTACTTCTAAAAAGTCTTTAGCACTGGCAAGGCTTGTTCCCATGGAGTTGTGGCGAGAGACAATGTTCTGTCCTATTTGGTGAAGCCAGGTCTGGAGCTAAAAATGATAGACAGTGTCATGTAAATAAGGGGAAATATAAAGTTCAAAACCTAATTCAAACTGCATAGTCTTCTCTAATATAATGAATGGCTTCTATAAAATAAAACAATATTTAAAAACTTTAAAATTCCTTGGGTACAAATAGAACAGTCTTAAATTATATATTGAAATGAATGTATAAGCATACACTGTTGTATTTCTCTTGATAAGAAAGATACTCCTGACTTCGCTGCCATGCCTCAGCACGTCTTGCCTTGCACAGAGATTCCAATTGTGTGCATTTAGCCATGAGCTCATCCATCTAGTAATAAGTGAAATATTAGTTTATAGAACTTCCTTGTTAAAAAAAACTTTTAATACATTGCTGTACACACAAAAAAATAACTTACTAAAATTACAATAAATGTTTAAAAACATACTTTATGAAAACAAAACACAAGTATACAGCTTACCTTTCGTCTCACGCCATCCGCCCCTTGATCGGTGCTACTGACCCTCTCAAGTAGCAGCCGACCTTCGTGGGTCGCTTCGGTTGAATAATCAACGATGGCCTGAGATAAACGTGAATGTTGCTCTGCTAACTCTGCGCTGTTTCTTGGGAGATCCATGTTGTTCAGTTGGAACTCCACATCTCTTAGTTTATTTAGAGCCTACAAAAAGATGTTAATTGTCACTCAGGGTTCCTTTTTTTAAAAAATGTTTATTATTTAATACACAATTTTTGTTACTTAAATTAACTTTGATTTCATAGAAATAATTATAGAACTAACCGTTTCTGCAAGTCTGAAGAAAGCCACCGCCATGCCAATATTTTTACGTCTGTTGTCAAGGCGGTTTGAGAAGCTTTCTGCCTCGCGATCTACTGCAATGAGGCGCTGACGAATTCCTTCTGCATCGACACTAGCTCGTCGCAGAAGTCCATCAGCAGTCCTGAGAAGTCCAAGCATGCTCTCTTGGATATCCTACAAAAAAAAAGAACAGAATTAGTCATTATTTTATCAGTCTATCAAAACACAATTTTTTTTAAGCACAGGCTTAAATTGTAACTTGATATTTCTTATATTATTTTGATTTTATTTGTAATGTACTTACTCTGGCTTGTGCCTCAAACTGGTTGTGGTCTTGCTGTATTTGTTGGGCCTCACTATAAGAGGAACCCAGTTCGGTGTTCTGTAAATAATTGTTGCCTACTCCACGGTACCATTCTAAGATCTGAAAATTTAAACAAGTATTTATTTATTTAGAATAATTATTAGCATAACTGCTATTAACAAATAATGCTGAAGTAAAATAGTTTACTATCTAATCAGTTATATAGATTTACAATAAATTGAGCTTCACTACAGGTTAGATAGATATATTAAGTTATCACTATGCTATCAGCAATAATCATGTTTCATTTCCGCTGATCCAGGTGAATATCATTAAGAAATAGCCTGACAAAAATGAATACCAGCCTTTAAAAACAAAGTAAACCAACCTTATTAACCTCCTGATCAAGTTGACAGAGCTGCAAGCAATGTTCAAGTCTAATCTTGCGTTGGTTCCACAATTCTTCAAGGTGGCGTCTGCGATCATGCAGCAGCTCCAGAAGGTGTTCAATGCCATAGCAGGCTGCTGTGGTGGCGTGGAGGTTGGCAAAGTCCGCATGCATACCCATCTCTTTAATCTGGTCTAGCAGGGACTGGCCCATATCAAGGGTGGCTTTTGATGTCTCAAGAATATCTATTAGAATGATAATAAAGTAGTTTTATACAATGGTATAGCAAATTCAATTTATGCTTTTTTATATTTACACCTGTACTTGTTTCTATGTATACAAGTTTAAGAGTTAACTGTTTGGTAGATTGGCCTAATTAGAGAAACAAAATAAATACTAACTATTTTTCATGTCAAGATGTTGGTCTAAAAGTCTTTGTGCTGTTTCTACATCTGATGCTAGGGGTACTTTAGAAAAGTTCTTTTGTGCTTGTTCCATAGATGATGCCAACTGAAAGATTTAAAACAAACATACTTTATAATTTTGTATAAATTAAGAAATGATAAAAGATGTTTTGTCTTTAAAATATCTGTTTATGTAGGGCCTAAGCTGTGTATAAAATTAAAATTATGCTACTGTTTCTTTTGAAATATTGCTGCATTTAATAACTTACAAAGCATAGAAAATTATGTTAAAATGGACTAGTAAAATCTTATTTTAGCTTTAGCTTTTTTTTTTTTTAAATTTATGTTATGGCATAGAGGATAAAAATAAATATAAATAATTATAATATATAGTACATACATCTTGTGCACTCTGATGGAATGCTACACTCTGTTCTAAAAGTGTTCCCCTATATGCTAGCTTGTCATTGAGGTCCTTCCAGGCTTCAGCAAGCGTGTCTGCCATAGCATTATGTACATCCACTTGTGAGCGGTTCTGGTCAGCTTGTGCATCAATATTTCTGAGCAACTGTTGAACCTCATCCTCTTTTGACTGTTTCAAAATTTTAAAACGTGAAGTTATTAAAGAACTCATTATTTGTTTTAAAAAAAACAGAGAACTTTTTATTAAAAATATTAGGCCTAATTACCCTTTATCATCATCTTTTCCCATTGTGCCCATGACACTTAGGGCCGATGAAGTAGAGCTCATCTGTTTCAATGACCTCGGCACAGAGGCAGATAGTGTGGTCAGCACTATGCCCAGCTGCTTTAGTTTCCATTACGAGAGTCAGGTACCCATTAGAGCTAGGTGAACCCAGCGGTGTCATACAGAATTGAGCCCGGGATCCTAACTTAAGTCTTTCAGGCTAGTCATAAGCTCTACCATTCGACCATGCTGTCCTTAATTTACCCTTACCTATCTAAAATAACTAGACATGCACTTTAAAACAGAAAGCTTATAGCAAAGACTCTAGATTCTAGATCTATATTATATAGCCATCTGTATAGGCCTTTTGCCAGGCTTACTTTGAAAATTCAACACTCTGGAAATTACATAATAATTTGAATTAGTTAAAGTGAATAAATAGCCTAAGCCTAATTAGGGAGGGGGTAAGGGAGGGGAGGGCACTTAAAACTCTTGTGGGGTTCAGACAAAAATCTTCAGGGTGAGAGGGGGCGGGTGATGGTGATTATAACAGGCCTTTCTTCTATATACATCTAGATCTATATTTGGTTGAAAATGCTTCAGTTCATTGCCCTCCTCCCCCCCCTCTCTATCTCCTCCTACCCAGGGAGTAACTTCAAAGGTAAAGTTCTTAATTCTAAACCTAGATCTCCCTCCCTCAGAGTTTCTTCCAGGCATCTCTTCGGGTAGGGGGGGGGGGGGGCAAAGCCCCCCGAAAAAATTTTTACCGCCCCCCAACTATTGTTGTATTTGGTATAGTCAGTACTCTAGATCTAGGTCTAGAATTAAAAACTTTACCTTTGAAGTTACTCGCGGGGTGGGAAAAGGGGGGGGGGGGGTGTTTCTTCCAGACTTTTTTTCTCGGGGGGGGGGGGGTGGGGGGGGCACTTGAAATTTTCGCGGGGGGCGGTAGACTTTCTTCGGAGGGGGGGGGGGGGGTCGGACACTGTTAAAAGTATATATTTTCTATATAAATTATATAAATTTCATTTCGTTCGGGGGGGGGGGGGGGCGGTAAAAATTTTTCGGGGGGGGGCGAACTTGAATTGATAGTAAAAGGACTGGCAACTGCTAGATCTAGATCTACTCCTAGATCTAGATCTAGATCTATGATTCTAGCGTCTAGACTAGATCTAGATCTGGAAATCTAGATCTAGATCTAGATCTAGATTCTAGATCTAGATCTAGAATCTAGACTAGATGTAGAATCTAGATCCAGATATCTACTAGAATCTAGTACTAGACTTCTAGAAATCTAGATCTATCAACTATCTAGAGATTTAGAGATCTAATCAATCTAATGTCTAATCTAGATCTAGATCCTAGATCTAGATCGAGATTCTAAATAGAGCTAGATCTAGAACTAGATCTAGAACTTCTATCTAGACTAGAAGTGATAAAATACTCAGGTCTAGAATCTAGTTTAGTAGTTTGGCCTACTAGAAATCTAGGAGCTACTGGATGTATAAAAGTTTTCTAGCAGACGAAATTTTAACTGATATGCCAGTTTGTAATGGCTTTATAATACTTTACACTTTACATAGTAGGAGACCGACCTCTCTTGCCCTGGCCTACAGTTTTAAATATTGTTTGTGATTTATAAGCCTAGCTTATTAAGTTGTTTTCTCCCCAAACGCACTGTTATCTGGCAAATGTGTACATAAGTACGGGCTTAGGCCTAGTGATATTGTAGGAACTTCTAGGCCCTAGCGACATTCTTTGCTTTTGATTTTGAGCGAGCACACCAAAAGTTTATACTGACCTTTAGTCTAGCAATGAGTTGATCGTGTTCTCGCTGTAACTGTAGAGCTTCTTCAAGATTGGAACCTACATCCATAAGGTCAGGTTCCATCTGGTGAACTCTGACACGCACCCATTCTGAGCTCTGTGAATAAAAAATAGATAAATTCTATAGAAATAAACTTAAGAAAGAGTATTCCTCATCGTTGAATGTTGTTTAACATTTTGAAGCATTATAAATGAACGAAAAACAATTACCGTGAACGAAATAAAAAATAAAAAGCTTGCATCGTTTCAACATCTAGATCTAGATTAGATCTAGACCTGTGTTTGTGAGTGGGTGTGCTAAACTAAAACTAAAAGCAAATCGACCATGTGGATAGCAATAGCTAAAGGACAAGGTAAGGATCTACACAAATTTCGTCTTCCATTGTTTCGTACCTCCCATAATACCTCGATCAAGGACGACAGATTAAGAATTGATGAACAGTCCATGTACGACATATTAATTTAAGAATTGCTCTATGTAAAGAATATGCCCATTATGCTGAGGTGTTGTGTTTACATAACTCTCGCACTATCTCCTTCACTCCATCAGCTAAAGTAAAGGTGCTTTTTTATATATTTTTTTTTTATTTTATAGAGCAGGCGTTGAGAATTTGTAATGTGTTATGCCATTAATATTATAAAATTAGCGTGGCTTCCTTTCCTTCTCAAATATATTCCAAAATTGTTTTCATTTATTTTTGTATAAGTTTTTTTTTTTTAAAAAAACTTTTCTGCCATGAAATACGTAGAAGCTATAAGCTATACTTGTTCTATGTGGTCTTTGTCTAATTTCCTATTCCCTTACAGCTCAAGGTGGATTTCGTAAGAAAGAAAAGCAAAAATCACCCGTAGATAACGCTGGAAGATATCCCAGGCCAAGATAACTCGGTAAGACGTTACCAAGGCAACTAGGTGCCCCCTTGCTCTTCATTTATTTGCAGGTAGGGAGGGTATACCTTTAGCGCTAAAATGCACACTTGGTTCAAGCAGAAGCGGGGTATGCACTCCTTTTTATTGTAAGGTTATACCAACATGTTCTGTGCTGCAAGGCTTGGCTAGAAACCCTAAACCTACTTTTTATTTTTAAGAAAAATCAGTTTAAACAAAACAAAACCTTTTTTCCCTAGATTTAATTGTGAAGGAGAAAAAAAACAATAGCAATAAAGTTCAAAAGCTTGAAGAACCAGGTTCTCTATGTGAATGTTTAAGATGTTTGATCACTTAACTTACAGCTTGTTTTAAAGGTGGGGAAGGTGGTGAAGTGGGAGGGGGGGGGAATTAGAGAGAATGTGGCACTTCACATCAGATGTAAAACCGGATGTTGAGGAAAAATTTTAGATGTGGTATTTATTATTATTATTAAAACGGTATACTTAGACATGTTATAAATAATCTAAAATACAATCCATCACCCCCACCCCCACGCAAAACAGAGATTTTGTATATGAGAATTGCATATTTTAATTTTAAAAGTAATTTTAACGAATCTCTTTTACTAGAAACACACATTTATTCTATGTTAATACGCAAAACTAAGGCATAAATCATGATGAAACGTAATTAAAATGGGGAGGTCACACTCTTGGGTGAGGGGGCGGTGTTGGACTTTGGTTAAATTAAATAGATCAATGAAAAAAAAACAATCAAAATTGTCCTAAACACAATTTTAAAATGTTCAGTATTCAAGTTCAAGCCCAGTCTAAAAGTTTCAAAAATAATATCAGTGACCCGGGGATTGACCTAATCACCCCGCAGTGTTAATGGGCTCTTCCGCATAACACGATGGCGCCTCGAGCAACAGTACCAGAAAGGAAGTCGGACATTATTTCAATTAAATTTCATGAAACAGTAGTCCTAGTAGGCTTATAACGTATACTATTATCTGTATTTACTGTAAGTATCGCTGTACAAAATTGTTCAAACATGTCGCATCAAATGATTTAGTTTCTAAATAGTGTTGTTGTAGTTGTTGCTTTAAAGAGTTACAAATAAAAGCAAGCACGGAAAATGGCAACTCAATCCTGGATAAGTTTATCCAACTCGCCTTAGCGGCAACCCAGGTTTTACTTGCCTTTTGTAGTTTACCCTGGAAACTCCTTGTGATAATCTGTCTTACTCATTTACTGTCTAAATCGTCTGCTTCTTAAGTATAATGCCAATCAATCGAAGGGAATGGTTACTAATTTATGGAAACTAATAGTAATAACGGTGCATGAATAGGCCTACTTATACAGATTACTTATTAAACATTGGACATAAGAACCGAGCGTGATCTTGAATTGCTTGTGTGTATGGTGGGGGGGGGGGGGGTAAGGAAGTATATGAAGATATAGGTATATTCCTGCTTTCATTGTCATGAACATATTTTTTTAACTCATCCATTTCACTTTTTCAAAATATCAAGCACCCCACCGAACCCCCTCTTCTCATTTTACCAATACAGTTATTTTATAAAAAGCAAGCAGCAAGAGCCCTATATGATTACATCACACTGCGGCTCACGTCACACTCAAATCCTGCTGCAGCAGACAACCGTAGATAACTGTTCAACCCTCGCTCGTGTGCTGCTCCTTCCCCCCCTTGTGTTCATGTAAGTAACCTGTGTACAGGAACACTCACGCCTGCTGGCCTATGTCTTTGGGTCTCGGCAGCCGATAATCCGGGCTTGGGGTGGATCAGATACTTGTTCAACAATTTCATTTGGAGTCACGTGATGGTTAGACGATTTTTAATTTCTTCTTTTACCCTATATAAATATATTATTTCCTCCTCCTCAGCCCCTACCGTTGCCAATAACGGCATAAAGATCAACCCCGTACTTTCCCCTAAATAACAACAATAATTACTACATAAATTAACACATTATTTGTAATCAAGAAAACAATATAATGAACGTCTTATTCCCGGGGCGAAGGTCTCCATGTGAGCCTCACCCTCACTCACCCAGGTGTCTGACTACAAGTATGCATGATTTCCCCTCCGCCTTCTTAAGGTGTGCATGATAAGCTAAAATAAAATTAAACTGGGTTGTGTCATGTGTGAGCAGTTGTAAGTGCAAGACATTCCTAATGTATAGAGGCGTGAAGCCATTTCCTTAGACTGATGGTACAAGCTTGTGGCTGACTACTTAAGTGCTTTCGGCAGGCCAATCATTGATGGGTGAAGCTCGGTTGTCGGTCTATGCCCAGAAAACCACTCAAGGTATGTAGGTAGGCCCAGGGGCGTAGCGAGGGGGGGGGGGGGGCGGGGGGTGCGGACCGCACCGGGTGACACCATTTAGGGGGGGTGACACCAAGGCAAAAAATAGCAAAATATATAGAGAAAAACTCGAGGGGGGGGTGCAAATCGAAAGTTTGAGGGGGGGGGGTGCAAATCGAAAACTCGAGGGGGGGTGCAAATCGAAAGTTTGAGGGGGGGGGGTGCAAATCGAAAACTCGAGGGGGGGGGGTGCAAATCGAAAGTTTGAGGGGGGGTGCAAATCGAAAATTTGAAAGTTTATCCCTGGGAAGGGTCTCTATGCCTCTGGGGGGGTGACACCATTAAGTGCCGCACCGGGTGACACCCGACCTCGCTACGCCACTGGGTAGGCCTATCAGTGAGATATAGGTAAAGCTGACTGCGTGGTAATGCTGTTTAAGCAGCCGTATGAAATATGTCCAAGGCGTTTCAAATAAAAAAGTCAATATATTGTACTGAAATCATGTTTTCAAATGCTGATGTGTATTAAGAGTTGTCTAGATAAAAAAAAAAAAGCTTGCTATAGACATGCATTTAAGTATTACGAATGAAGTAGGCTTTGTTAGTACAATAATATGTAACTGTTCCTTTGTTTATTTAATACAACATGTTATTTAAAATACACCCGTTTGATAAATTGTCGTGTGTCTGATAATGTAATATTATACAAATCGTGCGTGTTACCAATATAATGACGTGTCTGTATGCTAGGTATTTTCGTGTTTTTCAATGTGCTCACTGTGTGCTCCTAATAAAATAAGATTGACGTATCATTGCATGGTGAAGATATGATGCCACTGTCAAAAAGACATGTAAGGTATATGCAACTTCAGTAATGTATAATAATTAGAACTGTTACGGGCGTATTTTTTTACCTTCCTGCCAAGAGAACACATCCGTTTACCAAGCGCCTCGACATGACTACTTTCAGCGTGAGCTAACGGTTAATACAAATTTAAAATGGGAAGATGTAGAAGGATTGGTTAGCTTCATAATTTTCAATAAATAGGCCTACATCTGAATGTTGGATGTATGTTAGGTATAATTCTTCTTCTTAGTCTGCGTTTTTTTCCAACAGTAAATATGTCTGGTTTAATTTCTATTGTAAAGGGCCTATTCATTTATCAGTTGCAAGATGTTATTCAAACTACTTTGCCACCCCTAGTTACTAGTAAGGCATTAAATATCATATTCATAGCGTAATGGACTGTAAATCTCTGTTCAATAACAAATAAACTCAGCACCGTTTTAAAGCACCCTCTTTATAAAATGGTATAGTTGGTATTCAGCATGAATATTGTTTTGGGTTTTATTAAATCATTTGAATTGTTCGCTTTGATAAAACCTAGTAAAGCGTTTTTTAAGTTGTTGTTTCAAATATTTCAATTGCCTATAACTCAATTTCAAAACAACATGGCATCTGTTAATGTGCTAAAAAAATATAGATAGTATTTTAAGCTTGCAAGCAAAGAAACACTACAATCGTCAGATTACAATTTTAAACAATTTTCTTTTTGATTTGTAAATAATGTTTGTTAATAGTCTAATTAGCTCAAGTTTTGTTTTCTTTTTTTGGGGAAATTTTCAATCCTAATCACTTAGATTTAATCCGTACTCTGATTTTACTATCCAAGACTAATAAAAGATAACAGATTATCCCGTCTAGTTAAATAAGTAAAGACGTTTTTTTTTACTTCTTAAAACCCATTAAAAATAGAACTGACCGACATACCCCCTACCCCCCTCCCCACCACATACCGCACACGCCACGGTCGAGGCTAAGAGCTCAGGTAAGTTTAGACTCAACTTCAGACACCCACCAGACCATCTCCATCAAAAAACACTGCATCCAATGATAAG